CAGGATGAAGCGCTACTATGTACATTAAAATGAAGCGCTTTGCTAAAATGCAAGAAGTATCTACATACGTAGGCATATATGTATGTGCAGAAAAAATTACATGAAAAACAGGATTTCACTTAAACTACAAATAAAGCACTGTGCGAAATCAAGTGAACAAAGCGCTCATTGTACACCGCATTATTTGCTTTCATTTACTCGTAAAATGCAGCCGATCAGGGCGCTCCTGCTGTGCCTTTACAAATACGGACATGCGGCATCTCTGGGGAGTTAGGCGGATGTGCTGGTTGCGCGATTTGCACCGGCACGTGAGGGTTGCAAATTTTCAGCAACAGCAATAGATTGTCAATTTACAACCCCCACAAACAAAAGCCACAGCCACTTTGATTGATTGTGTCTATTGTCTTTTCGAATTGAATGCCTCCGCCAAGCTAGAGCGCCGGGAGAGGTGGCAAGCAGTGCGAAAAATTTTAGCGTGATTAGAAAAAAACAGGTATTTATTATACAACATACTCGTACATACATACAAAAGTGCACACATGTGTTCTATGGTGGATTTTGTATGGGAAATGAAAAATTACTTCGTTGTTAACTTTTATACTTAAGTGCTCAAAAAATTCACTTCTTTTAAGAATTTTTGAATGCATGCATTCACACCCGACTGGCTCTGTCACATTGAATAAGTTAAGTGCCCGACAGTCATATTTTAAATGTCAAATGCGCTATTGAAAGTTATGAGACAACAAATATTCTATGCTGAATTGCAAGAATTCAATGCTTTCAAGATTTCGTGATAATCAGCAAACGCAATATTTTTAGGCAAATGCATGGGCTTTGTGCTTCAAACAAACATGTACGAAACATGGTTGCCACTTACTTACTTTTTTTTTTTTTTTTTTTACCAAAATGTGGAAAAGTTTACCAAAATACGTTTTAACTGTACATTTAATCTATATATATTTATAAAAACTACTCAGGCGATCTAAATAAAATTTTAAACTATTGCAGGGAAGAACATTTTAATGCAATTGGCTCAGTTAATTAGAAGATATAAGACATTATATTCACATAAATTCTTGATTTGGTCGCTTAATACCCAAATGGTTAGAAAAAAAAAAATTAGATAGTTATCACCAGTTTAAAAATTCCAGTATAAGTACAAAAGAAGATAAAGTAAGTATTGCAATACGGGTGTCAAAAGAAAGCAGTTTTAGATGGCTTACAGCCGAGAATATCTCCCACGAGTGTTGTCACCTGTTTGAAAAATTTAGCTAAATTAATGGGTATCAAACTAAAAAGTTTTAAGAAGACTTACATTTGAAAATATTTTTGAAGAGGTTTGCCAATTATTTGAAAAATATTATGTAATTAAATTGACAAAATTATGTAAATATTTTAATATGTGTGTAAAAAAAAGTTTAAGAGGGCTCAGAACCAAACAATATTTTTGGGTAGAGTTGCCTATTGTTTGAAAAGTTTTATGTAATTAAATTGACAAGATAAATAAGTTTACAATATATGTATCAAACTAAAACGGTTTAAGAAATATTTTTGAGAAGGGTTGCCACTTGTTTAAAAAAATTTATTCAATTAAATTGATGAGATAAATTTAATATCACAATATGGGTGTCAAACTAAAGGGGTTTAAGAAAGTCTAGTGTCGCAACTATTTTTGAGACGGGTTGCCACCTATAGAAAAAATTTAGGTAAATAAAAACTTTAGTTAAATTAAAAATATTGAAATTAATGAACTATTCCAAGAATTATACCAAATGAAAACTGTTTGAGAAAGCTTTGCTAGGTAATCCTTGTGAAAGGCTGCCACCTATCCAAAAGCCAAACATCAAACAAATTTTAGTGAAGAAGGAATTGGCAACATATTCTTATAACTCGAGTCTATAGAACGCTCACTTTCTTCAAAGGTGCGTTAATGCGCAAAAAATATTCAAAGGCCGTAAATCTATCTTCCATAAAAAGCTGAAATTAAATTTGTTTCTTAATTGAACCAAAAAAATCTGCCTACTTTGTATATACACTTTCAAAACAATATTAATTAAGAGTTTTAGATGTAGTGAGAGAAAGAAAAACCACAAAAATACTTTGAAGGTGGAACGAAGCACGCCGGGTGTTTGCTAGTTATTCAAATATTTTAGAAAAACACGTTAGAGTTGTGTTTGTTTATGTAGCTAAAAACCCGTTTATCGAAGGTTTTTCCAACTACATATATTTTAGTGCTGGAACGTTCCTTTATTAAGTTAAATTCTCTATAATGATTACCAAATAGTTTTTATTATTATTATTTTTTCGGAAAAAAGTGGCCTATTAAGATCTGTTGTCCACATGCTGATCGGAGACGCTAACCAGTCCCCGAAGTATAGAAGTCTTTGACCTTGATACATGCGCAATCGCATATTATGTTCCAGCCACAGAACCTAAAGTCCTGCCAGGTAGCTCGGAAATTCTCATTCCGAGACTACTCTATAGGGTATTAGAAATTTCTTATGCCGAATTTTCACTAGGCTTTGAAATGCCAAAAAATTTATGCCATTTAAAAAAAAAATTCCATGTAGAAATGAACTTAATAACTATTATTTTTAATGTAATGACACGATTATTTTTTTAATACCCCAATTTGCCATTTGTCATATTTGCCATTTAATGCCTAGTGGGAATCCAGCATTAGATTGCCTTTCTCCGCTAGGAGCCCTGCTGTATATCCTTTTGACGGACCACTGAACGGCTGTGGACTATAGAGGCTTGATCGTTAAAGAGATATATAATGTAATGTTAGTAATTTTTCATTTACTAAATTCCAAAAATGTACCATATCTGAAAGCTATATAGGACTGTACCAAATTAAGAAAAACTTGCCAAAATTGTTACATTTAGGGGAAAAGGGCAACCGTGGTACAAAAGTTTTTTGTCCAACTCTATGCCGCGCTGTCAAAAGTTTCGATATAAAATTAAATTTCCACACTTTTCCAACAATGCCTGAAGAGTGGTAAATATGTTCGAATTTGCATAACAAACAATATTGACAATTTGCGTGTCATTTAAACGCAAGATTAAGCAGCAATGTCAAATTCCACAAACGTACGCACATACATACATACATGTCATTTGCCTCTATTCATACAAACAAGCAAATATTTAGTACAAACATACATATGTACATACAAGCAAGCTTATCTACAAAGTCACAGACGTAAGTAATTTCAGAGTGCGTATGTATCAATCGCAAAAATTTAAAAGCAACTCACTCATTCCTTTGGGCATTCAGCATACTCCGAAATGTCATCCTTTATTTTCATTACTCATTTTATATATTCACACATACATATGTATAGAAATACATACATACATACCTCAATAGAAAAGTGATTTCAAAAGACGAAAGCCCTCCCACCAAATTGTTGCTGGCTAATTTACATACACACATACATACATATTTATGCACGTATACTTTTATTTCCTCCTTGTCTTTCTTTATCCGCTGCAATTAAAATAAAAGCAATTTCCATAAGTCATTTGTCTTCGTTTGCGTAAATTATCTACATTTTCTTCTGAACTTGTGCATACATAGGTACATACATACTTAATCCTAAATTTTTAATTTCCTTACTAATTTTATTGCTCTGACTTGTTGTGTAAATTTTATTTACTTATAAGCTTTGGATTAACTTTGTCGTGTTCTGCTGTAAATCGTCGACATCAATGACAAATTGTAATATTTAGCAAAGTTTACTTTTATAGGAGAAGGAACTTTTTAAATTAGCAAAGGAAATGCTTTCAGAGTTGTTGCAGAGATGCCAACCAATTTTCTTATTTTTCAAGATATGACTTCGATTTTTTTAGTTGTATTGCCAGAGAACGGTTCTCTTTTTCGTAACTTGACTTTTATTTCCGCAACACAAAATAAAATAATTGTTACTAAAACTTGTCATGATTTAACTTGCCAAACATACACAATTCATTTTGATTTTTTCAGGGAAATGGTTAAGTTTTTGTCTAAACGAATTTGAAGAAGAGACGCCGATGACGAATGCGGAGCCGAAGATGAATTTAAGTACGAATACGAATACCAGGACCGATACGATTGCCATTACCGCTACCGTTATCATTGCCATTACAATTACAATTACCACTTCATTATCTACCATTATCATTACCGTTTTCATCACCATTACTAATTCAATTACCATTACCATCACCATTACTAACACTATTACTAAAACCTTTTTTATTACTACTGCCATTACCATTACCATAATCACTGCCATTATTATTACGTACGATGACGAAGACGAATCTTAGGAGTAATACAAATTTCTGCAGTATAAAATTAGCTAAAAATTAATCGTCATCGGTCATAAGAAATATAATATTAGCTGATGGTTAACGTGCACCTGCTTCTCGATTTCTAATTTTTAATAATTAGTTAATTAATTTAAATCTGCATTTAATTATTATTTTATGATTTTTATTTTTTCGCTTAATAATAATAGTTATTATTGAGTTATATTTTTCCACACAAACGATCGTACAGACACAACTAGCTGAAACTTTGGCAGGAAAACTTTGGGACTTAGTCCGCTACCTCCGAATAGGAATAATAATTATTCTTAAGGGGAAAAAATAATATTAATTATTTTCTTACTATCTTTGAGCGTAAAAATAAAAATCATAAAGTAATCATTATTTTTTAAAATATAACTGTCGGTAAATAGGCAGAAGCATTTGGAATACACGTTTTTCAAACGTCAGGCTTATTGAAGTCATTTTATTTGTAGCAGTAATATTACAGCAGGAATATTACAGCTAATGTATTATTGGGGTATTGCATACAACCGAGTACATTACAAGTTGTATACAGAAATTAGAACGTAAGAGCTAAAACTACTTTCTAATCAAAATGGAAAATAACTTGCACATTTTGTTTAGAAACTAACTAACCGAAAGCTAATTTATAATTAAAAATTGTTTTGTTTTGCTTTTTCCAGATATGCCACAAAATGTTGAAATTTGCATCACAGCAACACAATAAATTACATGTAACCACTTCCAGTATAAAAGCCAAGGTTAGTTACATATATATCTTAATTATATTCTGATGAACTAAATATATTGCGAAAATGCATATACGATTTCTAATTAAAAGCTACCTTCCGAATTTATGTAAAAGTGCAAAAAGCATACATATGTATGCAAGTACGTAGGTACGTGTAGTATTCATTTTCTTCATGATTTAATCAGATTTTAGGGCAATTGCGGTTGCAAGAAGGATGTGCCTTTTTAACTACATATATTTATCATGACTTTCATATTTCTAAAATCAAGCATATTTTTTCGTTAAATAAAATTCAAAAAGTGTCTTGTCCAAAATGTGTCTTGTCCAAAGTTATAGATATAAGCTGCAGATAGCAGTGAAAATATCATTGAAGCAATTACAAAACGAGCTACTACAGTGTAAATACTAATTAATTACTTTTCTATTGATAAACCATCTCTGTTTTATAAGAGTGTTGATCGATTTTTCATTTCATATGTATTTATATTCTCATTATAATAATCTGATAATATAAATTCTCATTATAATAATCTGATAATATGAACACCTCAAAGCATTAACTGTTCCTATAAAACAAAGAAGAAGGAATAATAACAACATAGAGTGGTACTAACATCGATAATCATAGCTACTTTTTGGAAAGAGTGAGAAAGCGGAGCTATGGATAAGTCATTGGGTCTCTTTGCCAAATTATTTCATTGGCTCCCTAGTTAAGTTACGATTATTATGCTTACGTAATCCTTCCCCGGTGGAATTCACTAGGGGTCACTAAGAGCTACTACTACGCTGGTGCTTAGCGCCATAATGAGCATAGCACATGTCAACATTGCAGCCAGGAACCGGGGGGTTAATACGCACGGGGACTGAAAATTCCGGAGTTCTGCAGGGTTTCGATTGCATTCCTAATCACACTGATTACTGCGTCTCCGAAATAGCTCCTAGTAGCTTCTTGTCTACACTCATTCCGTGATTAGGTGAAGTGGGATGACTAGAAAAAGCAAACAGTGAACTTAGCATATAGTTACTCTGATAACCAAGCAGCTGTTAGGGCGCTAAACGCAATTAGGATACACTTGCAACTGGTCAGGTTATGTCTGAGCTACTTTCCTATTATCTACTTAGATCCATTTGGGGCTACAGCGGCTTTGGAAACTGCCTTACTGGCGATTTCCAAATGAAAGGTACCACTGAAATGTTATCACCCGCTAGTGAGTAATTGATGGCAAGTCTGAGCCCCTTATGATTAACTCTTGGACAGATGTAACTCATTCCAGCGCAGCAGGCGCTGGTATAAGGCTAGGATATGCGAATTGCAAGATCGTGATGAAATTCTTTGGCTCATACTTTCTAAGTAACCCTAAATCGAAATTTCAAACTTCTTCTTTTGTCCAGCATATTTTGTATTGAAGAAAAAGCGTGACGCCGTCAGAAAAAATTCCAAGAACCAACGGTATTTTCTAGCCACTTTAAACTTGCACTTTATTATACTAAAATTTAATATGGCCCTTATGAGCTAGACTTTTATAGAAGAAAAATAACAAACATTAAGGGCTGGTTTCTCCAACTCAACTTAACTTATTTATGCCAATTTTCTTGACTTAGGCAAGAATAAGCTGTGTAAAACATAGGCTAACTTTTGACTTAAGTCCAAAAAATGGCTAAGCTAAGTTAAGTTGAGTTGGAGAAACCAGCCCTAAATAAACGAAAGAAAAGTAGCTAAACCTTAATTAGTCAAGCATGCACAACTGTATGTACGAATTTCTCTCCATTTCTCTGTTTAAAAATGAAGTTTTTATTCATTAAACAAATTTGAAACGACTCAGGCAAGAATTGTGAAATGAAAGCATTTTTTTATGTAATTATGACTTATTTCCTTTTCATAAGTCAGCAATGCGCGTCTTGACGACACCCCTTCCAGTCAGAATCACCGAACCGCGAACCGCATTTTTTTAAAGGTTCAGAGTAAAAGGAAAGGAAATGCCATTATAACTAACAAACAATAGAATAATTTAGATAATAAAATCCACTTACTTACACACACACATCATCCAAATGAAATTATGTAGGGACGTGAACTTCAGACATGCATGCCAATACATGCATACTACTATATAACAAGCGCATATATCTATTCCCACATACATATAAATGTACATACATACGTATGTATATGTTAGAAAAAGCAGTGCAATGGCAAACATGCGTTCTATAAATTTTCTTGGAAGGAGACTTACTCCGTTGGTAAACTGGTATGTATTTGCATGATTCGTCAGTGCAGTTGTTGCCGTTGATTGACGTCAAAGCTATCAAACATGCAGCTGAGCTCACATACAAACAGATTATGTTATACCGCACACAAACTCAGGAAAAATTCCAATTTTTACGCCAGGATACTGTCAGGCAGTGGCAGCGTAAAAGAAAGGGTTAGAATTTCAAAAGTTATTACGAAATTTTGGTTTCTACATATACGCCGAAATTCAAAAAAAAAAAAAAAATAAAGAAGAGCTTAATTTTTCATACATCCAAAATTTGTATGAAAATGTCACTTTCCTAAATCTATTTAATTTTTTATGAATAGGACCAATAGACCTTAGACCAATTAGGCAATAGAAGAGTCTGTTACAAAGTAATTTTTAGATTTTTAAAATCCTCTCATATTGCCTTAACTCAACTCAGCTCACCTCAACCCGCCTTAATTTTAGTGGAAGAATTTAAGCCGCTGGGCTAACACTAGTATACGGGGCGTATGATGAACGCGAGAATGAGCAGCCTGTGCCTCGCTTTGGTTTAAAAATCCAAAGATATCTATTTTTGACCATTAGCATAAAAATACTTACCAGCGAAGTTGGAAACACCAGGTAAAAAAATTTGTATAGCGTCTTTTTTTCAATTGGTGGGATTAAGAAGCAAGTTACATGTTCTTAACTATTTGGTACGCGTTCAGACTTAGGGCGGATTTATTGTTGTAGCATAAAGCAATGTTGTAGTTTATACACAAATTTCTACATAAGTACAATGTGGGGAAATAAAAATGTGTGATAATCAAGGAGAATTTTTAAATACCCGTGCGCATCGGGCAAATATTTATGAAGCTCCTGTCTTTTCAAAAACATTCTACACTAATGCGCTGTTTAGCAATCAAAATTATTTAATCCACAAGAATTTCAATATATGTAAATTATCTAAAATATATGCTATGATCCCTACACTAATCCTGCCCCTGTCACCCCCGCCCTCAACGCACATGCCACAATCAGCTATGCACATACATACACATATAAATGCATATGTATTTATGTGTCACTTTGCAGCATTTGGCTCGACATGCACCGGCATTAGCACCAATTTGAGGTAGAATTTAGAACTTTTCTTTGCACCACAGCAGAAGCAGCATAGCCATAGTAACGCAGCTTACAGTGAAACTTAACAAAGCAAAACCAAAAAAAAAACAAAAACAAAAATGACAACAAAACAAACAAATCAACTGCTGCCGCCTGTTAACTTGCAAATAAATGTAATTTCGCTTGCTACCCCATTTTGTAACTTCTTTTTTGTGCTAGAATTTTTTCTTTGTTGCACAAATTGCATTGCTGCAAATAACTCACATAGCCAGAGGCTGCTCTGCCTTTACTGCCTTAGCTACATACATGCAAATATATTTATTTTGATATTTTTTTAATATTTTTTTTTTTTGCACTAACTCCTTTCCCAGCTGCAAGCAGAAATTGTTTTGCATTTGTGTGTTTTACAAGCACTCAACGTGTTTTTTTGTTTTTGTTCTTGCTTTTGTAAAAACTTCAATAATCTTCACATTCTCATACGTGCATATGTATGTTTATTTGCATGAATATTTGTGACTAAAAAACACAGCTGAATACAGCAAATCTGCCATCAGTTTAATTGCATGCGGTTTCCCTGTTACCAAAGCAGTCAAAAGGAAAAAAGTAAAAAATAAATGCACAGAAAAAACTTACATACATACAAAACTCATTTTCCTTTTGCTTTTTATGCAAAGGATGCAGGATCATCTGCCGAGCTGTCTCTTTTAAGCCTTAAGTAGGAATTTCATGCTTATTGCATGCGTCGGAACTTTGGCATAGCATATGAGTAGACGACTTTCATACTTGTGCGTAAACCTACAAGTATGTATGTAAATAAACATACATATACATACATATAAGTATTAGGGTGAAACAAAAAAGAACTTATTTCGAATTTTTAATAGTGTGTAATTGCAGATACCATTTACGCTCGCCTCAAGAGCCATGCAGCTTCGAAAAATCTCACAAATTATGGGATTTTTATACATACTTGTTTCAAAAGGCTCTTTAGAAAGTTCCGTACGCAAAAAAATTTAAAAAATCAAGGATGTATTAACTCAGAATATTTCCAGAAAATCGAAGAAGAAGAAAGAAAACCCTATAAAGAACCATCATATGACAGATTTTTTGAAGCTTTAAGGGTTTTCCGTACTATTCGAGTTTAGAAATCGCAACATTTTTTTTCGCTCCACCCTAATGTGCATATGCTTTTTTGTATACGTCCTTGTATTTACATATTTACTCATTTATGCTTGCATCGGCATAAACACTTGTATCCTGCGACTTTATCTACCGGCATGCCGTTTGCATTTGTGCCAAATGAGGCAGTTGGCACTGCTGCCGCCGCCTGCTCATGGCCACAACTTAACGCCATCCAGTCAGCGAGTGAGCAAGTCAAGCCAAGGCTCGGAAGCGACAAAGTCAACTCGTTGTTGTTAAATTCATAAAGCTGTCGCATTACATTGCTGTTCTCCTGTCTTTGCATCTTTGCGCTGTGGCGGCATGTGTTTGGATGTTGCACACAAATCCCCTTGCACATATCATTCGAGTGTATGGGTGTAGGTGCTTCATGCACTTTCACACTTGCATTAAAGAAGTACATCCTGCTATGACGGCATTTGTCGCCATTCCACTTCCTGTACGGTGTTCTGCCCTGTCCTGCCCTGCTCTGCTCTGCTCCGCGATATTC